CTGAGGCATGTGTGAGTGCTATATATGCTTTATCAGTACACAGAGGTGATTTTAATCTCATGTATACAGGAATAATTCCACTTTTCAGGCATCTGATGTTGAAAATTCGATGGTTCACAAAGCGGGATTCACTTTGATAAAAATACGTGAGATTCTTAGCTAGCATTTTAATGGGAAGAAAGTCAGTTGAAAGCATGTAAAGAGGTGCCTTATTAAACTGAAAGCCGTAATAGCTTGAAAAAATTTGGGCATTGGGTGTATGATATTCATCATAAAATAGTTTTTTTGTATTTCCCAATGACTGAAAAACTAAACTAAATTGTTTTACCGACGTGTCACTGTTTAATGCTTATATCAGAAAACTACTCAATGAGCTTGACATCAGAGTTTCCTACAAAGCATCAGACACACTACGAAATAACCTTGTCCATATAAAAGACCAAACCCCTGAAGATTCTCTATCTGATTGTCTCTATAAAATAAAATGCTCGGAATGTGATGCGATCTACATCGGACAAACATCTCAAGAAATCAAAATCAGAAGAAATGAACACCGTAGAGCATCTCTTCGACCACCGAGAAATCCAGTTGAACTAGAAAAACTTGAAAAATCATCAGCCATAGGTCTACATGCTACAGAATCCGGTCGCAAAATTGATTTTGACGATATTGAAATAATCCAGAAAAACTTCAGAAACCACAAAGAACATCTAATACCAGAAGCACTTCATATCAAGTGGAATCGAAATTGCCTGAATAGGAATGATGGGCTGAAACAGAATCTGACCCGGCTACAACACCTCTCTCCCTCATGAAGTGACAAAATCAACACAAATGTGATAAGCAAGTTCACTATGCAAACACACTACTTTTATAATTCTACACACTGATAAAATCCAGCAATCCACACTTGGTTTTGTTATCTTGACCAATTGACCAACTTGACAACGAAAAATGACCGCAGACTGATGAACGATGATCAAGTTAGTAAACTTTATTTGATATCATAACAGATGTACTATTACCTTTGTTGTTTGGTTTAGTCAACTTCATTATTATTTTGACTTTGAATATGTCCCTTTAACTTGATCTGAGTCTATTTTCGGTTTAATAATATTTTGATAAAGCTATTAGCATTATATAGCGAAACGTCAGTGAAAACAATGCGTATTGTTTTTCATTCATTGGGAAATACAATAACCTTTATTATAGTGACAACCGGATAAAGAGGGAGGCGTGGCGCTAGCAGATCCACCCCGCAAAACTCAACCAAAGAGTTATAGAAACTTCAACGTGAAAATACATTAAAAATACTAAAAATATAAACAATAATCTTATTTTTCGCTGGAATCGAGGAAGTGAAATGACACAGGCTGGTGAAAGCCTTCGGGAAGCCAGTCATTCGATGTGCCTTCTCTCGATGAAAGCAAAAGTAAGGATGGGTACCTGGAATGTTCGTACAATGTACGAAACTGGAAGGGCTGCCCAGGTAGCAGCAGAAATGAGGAGATATGGAATAGAAGTACTGTAAATCTGCGAAAGCAGATGGAACGGATGTGGTAGATGCCAACTGCCAACTGGGGAGACAATAATCTCTTCTGGCCACCCAGAGGACAACCACGAGCACACCGATGGAGTGGCCATCATGATGTCACCAACATCAGCCAAAGCTCTCATGCAGTGGGAACCAATCTCCTCCAGGATAATGACAGCCAGGTTCAACTCAAAAGGAAGGAAAGTTACAGTCATGCAATGTTATGCGCCTACAAACGTCTCAGATGAAGAGAAGAAGGAGGCGTTCTACAGACAACTACAAACAGTAATGGACAACGTCCCAAAAGGGGATATCAAAACCCTGATGGGTGATATGAATGCGAAGCTGGGAGCAGACAATACAGGAAGAGAACTCACCATGGGTCGTGAGGCCCTCGGCGAATTGAACGACAATGCTGAACTCTTCTCAGACTTCTGCGCCTCCAATGATTTGGTGATTGGTGGCAGTGTGTTCAAACACAAGGATATGCACATGGCGACATGGATTTCACCAGATGGAAACACCAAAAACCAGATAGACTTCATTTCAATCTTAAGGAAGTGGAGACGGAGCCTACTGGACACAAGATCTAGGAGAGGAGCAGATGTGGGTTCAGAACACTATCGAGTGCAAACGACTTTCAAGGTGAAGCTAAAAGCCTCGATGATGACTGGGGATAGGCCACAATGCAAGTTCAAAACTCAATCACTGAAGGAACAACTACAAAGGACACTTTCACTGCAACTGTCAGAGCAAAGAAAGAAACACAAAGTGACATCACTGAAGAGTCATGCGTGCAAGAACATTGGAAGTCTCTGAAAGCGATTCTCAACGAAACGTGCTCAATGGTTCTAGGAAGAGAGAAGAGACGAGACAAGGAATGGCTCTCAACGGACACTTGGAAATTAATAGAAGAGAGGAGAATGGTGAAAGAGAAACTGATTCAATGCAAGGACGGACAGGAGAAAGAGACGCTCAGCTCAACTTACAAAGCACTGGACAAAGAAGTGAAGAAGAGTGCTAGGAAGGACAAAAGAAGATTCTACAACAACCTCGCCACTGAAGCTGAGAAGGCAGCAGGCAAAAGGGACCTGAGGACATTATATCAGATAACCAAATCTCTATGGGGGAAGAGGTCAACACAAGCGAAACCTATAAAAGACAGCCAAAGGAACCGAGTTACCAAGGAAGAAAAACAGATTAAACAATGGGCGGATCACTTCAAAGGACTCTTGAACCGACCATCACCTGCAACCCGTCCAGAAATACCAACAACAGCGCGTACACGACTGTAAGTTGACACTAATCATCCAACGAGAGCTGAAGTCTTGAATGCAATCAAGCTTCTGAAAGCTGGAAAGGTAGCCGGATCAGATGGAATACCCCCTGAAGAACTGAAATCGGACCCAGAGACGACAGCAAATATGCTGACTCCGTTATTGCAAAATGTCTGGAAGGAGGGAAGGTGCCCACTGACTGGAGGAAAGGTTACCTGTGAAACTACCGAGGAAAGGCGACTTGGGACTCGCCAGGAACTGGCAAGGAATCATGCTCCTGTCGACGCCAAACTGCAAATACAAGACCCGCCTCTATTTTAAGAAAATGAAAAATGCTAACATTTGTAATGGTGTGTAAGCAAGTGGTATATGTTTTATTAATTCACATGGAAAACGTCCAACTACTTGGGAATTTAGGTGGGTGACACTGTTACAGTAGGACAGTAGAAAGGAATTTTTTGTAATGGCTACTCAACATAGAGATAAAAGCAAAATACATCTGGCATATATTAGAATAATATTTTCTCAAAGCCTCGGTATTGTGCTCGTTTTGCCTTGAGTGTTGTGCTTCTTTGTCGTCATTTCATATTTTTCCTCGTTGTTTCACAAGAATCGTTCATTTCTACTCTTCCCAATTCAATCTGTTTCTTCACTATTTCATATCCGCTCAAGTGGTATACATATTTACATCTTTGTCTAAATACTACTTGTAAATCTTGTCAGTAAAACACGCCACAACACAGATATCTCATGACTTCTATGGTTAAGGTATATGTTACTTGATTTTAACTTTTTATACTACTCACGAGGATGCATGTTATTTGAACAATATTTCTATCGAAGCCGTCCATCAAACCTTCGGTGATGTCGTCATGCCTGCTAACTGTGTCTTATTGACTTATCTCTTACGGTTGTGGGATGGTACATAGTAGCGTGGTATTTATTCTTGAAGGAACCTGCTTAGTCATGATCAACAAAGAGTTTGTGTTGGAAATCAAAAGCTTATTAAAATGTATTCTAATACTACTACGGTGCGAATGACATCTGACTCGAATTCCACAGAACTACTTCTGCAGGCGTCACTGTTTGTATTCACGAACTAATATGCAACATCTCTCACAATCGACCTCAATTCTTCGGCTTCACAGTTTGATTTGGGTGCTCAATCATTCGTGTAACATACCAGACTGATAATAGAGTGATTTTTCTCGAGGCGCAGCCTCCAAATAACGTGCGATCTTACAACCCAAACACCTCAAACTGACAAACCATTAAAGTGTTGGTTTGTAGGGATTTGATTGGTTTCAGGATTTCATCATGAGCTGACATTAGTTAGAGAACCATTGGAAAACCTGGGGGTACTAGACAGCTGTTTCGTCCTAGTTTGGGACTCTTCATCAGTACGCACCCACCGGGATTCAAACCCAGGACCTTCCGGTTACAAGGCTAGCGAGCTCGTATACCATTAAGCCACTGGGACCCGATCCATTGGTCCTTGAACGGTCGCGCTATGTCGTGAATTGGCAGAAGTTAGAATTCAAGGACCAATGGATCGGGTCCCAGTGGCTTAATGGTATACGAGCTCGCTAGCCTTGTAACCGGAAGGTCCTGGGTTTGAATCCCGGTGGGTGCGTACTGATGAAGAGTCCCAAACTAGGACGAAACAGCTGTCTAGTACCCCCAGGTTTTCCAATGGTTCTCTAACTAATGTCATCTCATGATGAAATCGTGACAAACCATTTATTGTGCTGTGAAACAAATATTGTCATTTCTCTTTTGAATTAATAATTCTACAGCATTTTGTAACACGCGTCATTTCAGTGTACAAACGGTAGAAAAACGATCATAAACAGGTGCAAATTTATCCCCAATGTTTTCGCTTATATTAGTGCATATGATGTTCATGAAGTAGATGGTTTTCCAGTAAAAAAATGCGCAAACACGAGAATACATACATATACTACCTTATGCAAATGTAGACATTAAGGCACAACAGTAAAATGATGATGTATGTTCGACGAAAATAATCTGGAGACTATTCCACAAATACCAGATTGCTGTCTTAGTTTACACACCAATAAAATCCACATGATGTTAAGCTCTCATATGTTTGTGTGAAGAGATTTACCATCAGGTACCAGAGTATGAAGGCAAGAATGAATTCTGTGGAGCTCGACGGGAACCACCACGTTATCCATCTTCGCAGATTGACACAAATAAATATCACCTAAATTGAAAAGAAGTAATACCGTGTAAGTGAAAACAGACTACATTACATTCCCAAAAAGTTTTAGAAAATTCACATTCTGTAGTGGTCACATACCAACCAGATATATTTTATAAAATGCATTCATCACGCCACAGATACTGATCAAACATCGAACAAACTCATAATCAACATTTCGACTTATCTAGGAGCAGCTAACGTAAACCCTACTTGCAGTTGGACGATTGTCTGAATAATTCACGCTTTTCACATGCACCTAGAAACGTAAGCACATGACTACAGTGTGCCTGTCGGTTTGACGGACTATGAGATTTTGGTTAGTTAGTGTTGTCTTGCGTCATTTAACCTGTTTGACATATCTTCACCTAACACTTTTCCAAAACATCAACTTTGTTCCAACCGCTTTGTCGTAGATGACTCCGACTGATATCATCAATAAGATATATTTGCAATCGTTGCTCCTGTGATGGTGTTATTTGACTTCACACATATTGCACAAGGTGTTTTGTTCAGATCTGCAGATGGAATGTGCCATTATCCTTTCCGATGTTAAGGGAATACATATGAACATCAGGATCACTAGACATTATCAAGTAATCAGTTCAGTTGAATAGTTTAGTCTCAAATGACGCTTCATTGCCACAAATCTAGCGTCTCACATTGGATAATTATCGGTTTATCATATTCATCAGATGTGGAAATCAACTTCAAATGAAACTAACAATGATTTACGAAAATTTCTTAGAAAGACGGTTGCAGTGAAGAAAATGTTTTTTGATGAAGTCATCAACTAGACTGTACATTCGAGTAATTATATTACATGTGTGAAAACGTTTAAGAATTATTTTCGGTCTTACTTTCCTAATAACTGAAACGTTGTTAACTCATAGTCTGACTGTATTCACGAAAATCATTCAAAACTTGTAATCTTAGTGGCAATGTTTCATAAATGCTGACTTTGAAATAATAGCGAAGATTTGTGGCTGAGGTGGATGATTTGCAATTAATACTGACATTCTAGTTTTATCAGTCACCTAAAGTGCTGCGCTTAATTGAAATGCTAATATATTTGCATTGAATACACTGATAAAGTCAAAGACTTACGGCGAGTATGAGTAGTCCAATCAAAACTACTGTGAGTATGCAGAATACCTGAGTTTGAGAAATGCAGAAAACAAAGGAATTATTAACAAATAATATACACAAGTTCTGTTTATATGCGTGAATTCTGATACTGTGATACTAAACAAAATACTCACTGATTACATCTAGACAATAAAAGCTATCGAAATATCCCCAAACATCTTTGGATACATTGGTGGAGATTCATAGTCCACATGAAATACTAAGAATCATTTTGAGTAAGAGCTGTGAATGTTACATGCTGAATAGAGTGGATCAAGCATCACTGATTTAATGAATAAATTAGGAAGTATACCACCGTCTGTCGAATCATTGCACCGAGTTTACTAGCCATTTCTGCCAACCTGCTTCTAACTACCAACTCTCAGTATATAACTAACTACTTAGCTTTAGAACAAAATTTCAATAGTTTGTATGGAATCAGTTCGCTGTCAGTGATAAAGTTAGAAATTCCTAACGAAACAAATCAATAAAAATTGCTACATGTGGCGGGGAGCTTGAAAATGTGTACGAGGTCTGATTCCCTGCGCTCGGCCAACATTTCCTCGTCTTTTGTATTTAGCATGGTTACGTAGAAAATCGTAGGCAACAGAGCATTTTAAAATGATGTGGGGATTTCGTCCGATTTCATAAATATAATGTGTAAATCTTTTTAACTGAAATTTGTGTAATTTACGCGTTTTTGTTCTGGGATTAAGTGGAAGCAAATCCTCAAAGCGATAGCTGAAACCATGAGAACGACTGATATCTGAAAGAAAAAAATGAACCCCTTTTCACTCAATGACGGCAGTTTCAAAGCGATCACGACAACCATCACTGTAGCCACAATCGTCACAACCAACGATAACAAAGCACATTTCCACTGAACAGTTTGGATCACAGCGGCGAAGACCACAGACCATAATATGACCTGCATAAAGAAAGTAATAATTATATCAATAACTGAATGGTGACTATGTGATAAATGAAGACGTAGCAAGCAAATTAGATACATTTCAAATGCAATGCTTCCTGCCTTCGTTATAATAGATGAATAATATAATTGGTGTCATCCGGAAACGCTGAAAATAGCAGTTATTTATACATGTAAGCAGTCTACGTGTTTCACAAAGTAAGTGAGACATTCCTCATTTGTGTGTAAATGTTATGTCGAGTGTGAAAACAAAGTGAAGCATGCAATCCAGTATGCTGTGGAATTTCATCAAATCGTCAATAACATATACATTCATACATTAGAAATATATTCATGAGTCACCCAGCCAGTGCACTGAAAACGAAATTATACTTTTACTTTTTTTTAATATTTTGATTACAGCTTGATTCCACACTGTAGTTTTCGTATAAGTATGAGATTTTCAGCTTAAGATATCGGTAGCCCAAAGTTTGCAGGCCGACCATAGATATCAGGTGTGCGTCGGCAGGGGGTCGAACCCCGGACCATGTGCATGGTCAGCGAGAGTCCTAACCGCTGTGCCACCGAAGCTATTACACTAGGAGATATTAAAAACTCATGAATTTGTGATGAATCGGTATGAAACCTAGGATTATTAAAACCTGAATATAGCAAGTGGGTGTGTCTGTAGTTTCAGCGAACCACGTATATGAAAATGGTCTTCCTGCAATGAGTTCAAGAAGTGCCTAGTGTGACTGCATGCAAACTGATTATTCACATGCTTCAGTTATACATGTCTCTCCATTTAACTGCTCCATCCAATTGAATATCGTTAAACATTGCTTTCAGTTGTGAATGTTCAGGTCATACGTAAATCTGAATAAATGTTTATTATTCTCACATCAGCCTCATTGCTTTGCTAATCTGCAGTTGTCTATGAAGAGAGTTTTCTTCCTCCTCATACAATCATGGTTGTGCCGGCCATGGAGACGAAAATGGCATGTGTTAGAAACTGAAGAAGCAAACTCATTGGCAAAATAGCCACTGCCACTGACATTTCTCAAATAACACAGCGGTAATTTGAATTTCACATAGAATAATGAAAATTCTGATCATTGCATACACATCAACGTAACACTGATACTTACTATAATCCAAAGTAGAATACGAAGACCGTAAAAATTCGAACGAATTCTCTCTAGGAATATAAGTAGAAGTAATACGATACCAACAACCGATCTGAAATGGATTCGAAAACATCAGTAATTGATCTGAACCAGCGGATAATTAAAATGACTCACTACATGATAAGTTCGAGAGAAATCATAGCAATGAAATCTCCTGTTTGTTATATTGAACTTTCTACTATCGACCCGTGGTTTATGGGATCAATCTGAGATTTTCACAATAGATAAAACAATCGTGTTTGATCAATGTTACAGACCACCGTTGCACCATAACGAGCATTATATTTGATAGAGAACATAGTGAAACACTATTTTCTTCACACGCTGATGATTGTGCTAGCATGGAGATGTTAATTAGTTCGTTGATTACAGTCCATCTTTACTTCTCAAATACAGGGATAAACATTTATGTGGAATCAAGTAATCTGGTAGTAAGAAGAAATTTATTTCCAAGACAACAAAGTGTCTGTGCAGCATTCTCTAACGTAGACCTGAAAATAAAACGAAAAGCCTGATATGTAATATAAATGATACTCGTAGTCATATCACGTAATGCCAGTTAAGGTGTGTTAAGTAATACAATTGCGTATTCAAACACCTCTTATCAGCAGTGAATCAAATATCTTGTGGGTAAGTGTCACAGTGTTGGAAAGATCTTTGATCTCGGAACCAATTCCAAATTGATGTACTCTATAACCTCGTCTGGTTTACTGGTAGGTTTTAATCCTGGTGTTATTTCAGAAACCACACCTCATAGATAAATAAATTATGCCATTACACTGTGAATAAATTACATTTATCATTTATTGAAAGAATCATTATTTCAGTTATTAATTATCACGGTTGCATAGGAAACTAACATAACAATACAATTTAGATAGTAGGTCCCCGTGAAAAATCCAGAAATATTTTCTCTGAAATGCAAGATAAGATTTTGTTATCTTCTCTAATACAACCTTACTTAATGGCAAACAAAGCGACCAAACCAACTGTCACCAATATCATGATGAATGTGTTGATTAGTAACTAAAAATAAAATAGATTACTTGAAAAATCATGCCGCTCTTACCGAAATGTAGTAATTAGAAAGTGTTCTTTTGAGTCCTCGACTTTTTATTTTCGGAAGGAAACAGGACGCAACTAAATCTACCATCATGAAATGTTTCAAAATCTGTGAAGAAACGTAAAAGTGACAACGGAATGAGGAGAATTTCATAATAAGCGAATAAAGTTGACGAATCCATTTCGACATAAGAAGTAGGAAAATGATGCGAATAGGGTCATTGATTTCATGAATAAATTTTTTTACAATCAAACGTTGGTAAGTAAATAAAATGACACATTTGCAGTTTCTTGTGTTTCGGTAGGGACAATAAAACCTCAAGAAATTGAGAAATGTGAATAAAAGCATTATTACGTTTTAAATACACCACAGAAGTTGCGTCGGTGGTATAGCGGTTAAGACTCTCGCCAACCATGCACGTGGTCCAGGGTCCAATCCCCGGCCGACGCACTGCTTTACCTCTCTGAGCCAGAAAGTAATCCTGGTAAAGAGGAAAGGTTGGGCATGAGGCTAGCCTCCCCATACTGTAAAATAAACACTGCTACAGAAACTTCAAGCCACTAGCTTGAAGCCCTATGTTCCACTGGGGAACGTGAAGGAAAAAAATAAACAGTAGTTTTGACAAAATGACACAGGAGATTCGATTTGCGTAAAGACAAAATAAGTAAAAACTGGGAAAATACCCACCATCAGTACAGAAAACGTTAGATGATGACCCACTGCAACTTTACCAATTATAAATAGGAATGCCAGGCGCATCTGTTATATGTCCGTGAATAATGAGTTGAAACCAACTGCAAATCAGTGCAATACATTTTCTTTTGAACGAAATAATTCGTCATGTGTAAAGAATAAATCACACTAGGTATGATCAACAAAATATAACTAACACGACACGATATATCCATCCATCTTTGAGTCAACTCAGGAATTATTCAATTCAAAATAAGTACCAGAGAGGATGTGACAGTAGCACACTCACCTGAAGTAGCTCCTTGTTTCATATATACACGCCTCAGAAAACATTCACGTTAATTCGCATATATATATATATATATATCTTGATTTTTGTGATGGTTGTCGATACCCATTTTGGATATACTAAGTGTTCATATTCCATTCTATGTTTCAGTGTTATCACAGCTCATATGCTATAATTTTTTTCTCAAAATCATGAGCTTATGTACATCAATTGTGAAGTTTGATACACATTCAATTAAGATGTCGTCATACAACATGAAGAAATAATTAGCTAACTTGACTAATAAAGGGTTTTTTCTCACGAAATGTATCATATTGGTGGTTCAAAGGTTTCATATATTTCATATATCAATTCAAACAAATTATTTGATTTTTAGAAATGTTATAAAAAATCTGTGGACTTCATTCTAGAGATGTTGAAAGATATTTTGTAACCAGACTTTCAACGAAATAGAACAAAAGTTTCATTTACGTGTAATATCAAAGATTTAGGATTATTCTACAGTATGGCACTATTTCACACGCAAATTTATTCTAAAGAATCTACGAACCTTTTATTACGAAGTATCTAGACTGCTTGCAGTCAAATGCGCTGTTACTGCTCACCAGAAGATATCAGATGCTCACTGGTTTGATCAAATTGGACCAGCTTCCCATGTTGGTTTAATCTCCAAATGATTCAAAAATTTTCATGAATTTTCGTATTTAGGTCAATCGTAGTAGAAATGGAGGGGTTTCTGTCCAGTTTTCTGAGCTTCTCTAGAGATGAGCAGGTATTCACAGGGCGCAACGTCCAGGTACCTCGTGGATACGGAGTACTCCAGTTAACTTGATCAAGGTTTGACCAGAAACATTCGGCATTTATTGAATAGAAGACATATTTCGAAATCACTTTTGTATAAAGATGAATGATATTAAAACTAAACTTTGTTCGTGAAACTTACTCAAATCTCTTCAACATTATGATCAAGATAAAACCTCAAAGCTATAGTTGAGTGTAAGAGGCAGTTTCAATTCACCATTGTCTACTGAGGAGATAATGTTTTTAAATTTTAAGCTATTAGATAGTCAGCATCGAGGACTTATTAGGCTCTAGTGTTGTTATACAATTTTCAAACAATGAGCTCTAAATTATCATTCACCTACTTAAGCTACTTATCACTTATAAGTAACAAAATGATGCTTTCCACAAATAAAACTCGAGTTTGACATTGGGGATTGTGTAATGCGATATTGCAGTACTGTTCGATAAGCGTGAAGTGTACAGCGCGAATTTTAGAAATCCATCGTTCCAAAACTAAACATACAGAAATGAAATTTTTGTATATATACATATATTTATATATATATGTGCATATCAAAAGTTTGACTGAAAATTATAAAACCTCCCCTGTTTCTGTCAAGAAACGAAAGAACTTTGGTTATTGGTATGATAGTTAGTTAACAAATATCCACTGAGTAACTATAACTTCAGGTGGATTGAACTTTGTGTAGTGGCTTCAAGATCTCCACTGAAATTCGTGTGAGAAAAATAATTTGTATGAAGTCACAAATGGGAAAAAGTCGAATCTTCTAAGAAAATCCTAAGAGAAAAAGTCTGATTTTACCAAAACATTTGTGATACATCTTAGCAGTACATTTCAGAAGTCTTATCACATATCTACGTCTTTATTTAGCGTCGAAGAGGATGGAAGCAGACAAGAAATTGTGATTTATATGAGTAAGGTTAATCACCAAGAATGAAACAAGGTAATTTAAAAGAGGCTAAGTAGCTATAACTGGTGTATTTATGATTTTTCCGAATCAAATATCAGCTAAAATGCTCATTCCGTCCTGTACTTTAGTGAGACATGCGAGCACGAAAACTACTCTTCCGAAAATATATACAGCAAAAGTGATGAAAGCGGAATGATAAATAGTAACAAAATGCAAAATCGCAAAAATCTTTCTTTCGAAAATGTCAACATTTCAATATAAGTCGCAAAAATGGGCAGAACGAGTTTATTTTCCCCGATTGGTTGTAGCCGATCAGCCAATCACTGACACGTCAGTTATTGTGTATAGTATATTACTTCAAATGCACCTCATCATTATAAAAAAGACCTAAAAATTAGTGAAAATACCGCAAGTTTAGTTAGTTCCACCAGAATCGCGACTGATTTCTGTCATTCATGTATATAGTTTGTGTATGAATACCGTCTATCTACTGAGTCACACCACCTTGGTATCTGCTTGCAGTTACTTCAAATGTTTACAATGGATGCATCATTTGACACCCATTCTTATCATCATACTATATATAAACGCTTGTGTGCTTCAGATGGCAGTTATAAAATGTAAAATACTGATGTGAAATGAACAGTGATATTGACGATCAAAATTATGCTGTGATCAATTTCATAGTGTTACGTGAATCCTTCACTTATTCTAGTCTTAATATGTTAATTCAAATGAGGGATAATAAGTGTCGAGTTCTGAAAACAGTTGTTGATGTAGTATACAATTTACGAGGCAGAACATTATGCTGATCACTGAGGAGCAACAAGGCAGTGTGATCAGAGAATCTTCACAGAAATATAAATTTGTTTCTCATGACATGAACACTGTCTAACTTGAAGACAGCCTCAAGTGGTATGACGAATTGAATTGTAATCATTTAGTACATCCGGTGACCATTCCGCAGTAAACTAAGTTATGTCTCATGGTTATATGTTCACCGTTCTGAGATAACCAGCTAAATTAAACTAATAAGATCATTGCATTTGTTTCATATGAAACGATTAGAACCGTGGTCTTGAATTCAACATCAAGTATATGAGTTCAATCGTATTTTCAATTTACCTTCTGACTACCCATCGCTATTTCTTGACTTACATAGACCAGTTGACAGGGAATATTTCCAGCATAACTTGCATTTTGTAGAACCCTAGGTGGATAATAAAAACAATTCTGTTAAGTTACACAGTTCAGAGAAATGCTGATATGAGCTACATATTCCCTATATCCTTTCTCTCAGTATGCATGAGAGAACTGAGAGAATAAAAACAAAATGGCTACCGCTTAGATATAAACAATAATATATATATTCTATAGAACACTTTTGAATACGAATTGTTAATGTTAAGTGGTGAAGAGAGTGGACCAAAACACCATTGATTTTATGGTTGAAGAGAAAGTATATGATCGTCATTTGAAACATTCCACAGAAATTACTAGCCATTACTATTAGGCTGCTTATAATCATCAACTCTCAGTAGACAGAAAACTACGATAGTTTGATATGAGATCTGGTGAACTTCATGAATAAGCTTAATAACTCCATTATGGGTAAAATCTATTTTGATAATGTCTCACAGTGTTATACAGTAATATTTCCTGATGACGTTTTGAGCACAATTCATAATTGCTCATAATCATATCATGGTACTCACACAATCTTCTAACTTCGTTTATATAATTCCATGAATCCTTGTTCATCGAGTCTACACTCAACACGTGCAATAGGAAGGACTCATCACTCATACCGGAAATATGGATAATTCTACTACCAGTCAAATCAATCGATGGATAATAATGGAAAGGAGTACCTTTATGTGATTATGAGCAGTAATAAATTGTGCTCGAAATGTCATAATTAAATATCACTGTATAAAACTGTGAGACTTTATGAAAATCAATTTTACCCATAATGAAATTATACTCTAACACAGTGCACAAGTTCCATTCTTACATGAAGCCTAATAATTTCACTTCAGGTTCTTACAATTGCATGGAGAATCTCAGCATGAGCTGACGTCAGTTAGAGAACCATTGGAAAACCTGGGAGTACTGGACAGCGGTTTCGTCCTAGTTTGTGCCTCTTCATCAGTACGCACCCACCGATGTCCGAACCCAGGACCTTTTGGTTACAAGGCTAACGAGCTCGTACACCATTGAGCCACTGGGACCCCATCCAATGGTCCTTGAATTCTACCTTCTGCCAATTCACGATATAGCGCGACCACTTCGCAATGTCTTCTACAATTATAAAATATAATATTTATTGTCGTTTCAATAATGGCCAGTTACGCGATGTAGACTAAGAGATTAGTTATGGGGTGTGAAAATAGTCGTATTTTTTGTGGCAAACATGATTGGCTGAAGGCGACTACAAACTATTGTAAAATGGGAGACAATGGGGTGATCAATTATAATATCTTTGTAGAATGTGGGGTAGGAAAGTTGAAAAGCCAGGTCAAGATTACAAAAGGTGTCAGGTGAGTGGCTAGTACAAAGTAGTATATATTAAAGAGGAGAGAGTAACACTGCAATGTGAGGTTCATAATGAAATAACGAATGTGTGAAATGAAACAGGTGGAGGCATATATTGAGAAAAGACATAAAACCATTAATAATAAGTCCGGATTGTATAAATGAAAAATTCGATAATATTGAGAATATTTGCATGAATGGCATAAATGATGACGAATAATAATAATTGTAATAATAAACAACGGGAGAAAAACAAAAAAGAATTGAGAGTGCTTCTTCCCCTTGATCATCTTGGGTTTTTTGTTTTTCTCAAGTGACACCTTTTGTAACCTTAGAACGACTTATCAATTTTCATACCCCACTTCCTATGAATCTGTTATGACTGATCACCGCCCTTGTTTCCCATTTTACAATATTTTTAATTGATTTCATCCTAGCGTGCTTGTCACACAAATACGACTATTTATTTTGACACCCCATAACTAATCTGTTATTCTACGCTAATAATTCCTAACAAAACGAATCAGTCAAAATTCACACATGTTGAGAGGGGGTGTGGGATATCAGTAAAATTAGCAGCCTACATATGTAACTTATTTGTCTCGGCTGATATTTCACCGTCAATTGCATTTATCATTATTACGAGAAAAACCGAATTTAGCAGAACATTTTAAAGTGATGTGAATGTTTCATCACATTTCAAAAGAATAATGTGCCAATTCTTACAACTTGAATTAGTTTAGTTTACAGTAATTTTTCCACGGGTCAAGTA